ATATTCAATTTTTCCACCAAAAAAACTTTCATATTTTCTTACTAAATTAATCTTCCTTGATTCTTGTACTTCAGTAGTACCTTCATATTGAACACATTAAGTGCCCCACATGAATTTTGAGATTTTAAGTTTCATCATTGAGTGATAGACCTCATCAGGAAGATCCATGGTTATTATAGACCTTTCACGAGTGTCTAAAGCCATGTTCTTCTTGTCTTTATCACTCCATTGATGAAGGAGTTTTGGAATTAGCTGTTCAGGAATCATGGCAGTCGTAGCAGTTGTAGGAATTGTTGGAGAGATTGTGAATGGAACATAAGGTCCATTCTCAATGTAGTATGGGATCTCAGGATCCACACTTTCCGAGAATAGAGACATCCAGTTCTTCCAGAGACTAAAGTTGTCTCTGATGAAACAAGGAGGTTTGGCAAGAGAGCCATTATCGTGAAAGTTGGTGCTAGTGTTTTGCAAAGCGATTTTGAAAGGAATAAATTATCTAAAGAAGAAAAGATAATAAAACACCAATAAAACAATAATATAACAAAAAAAGCAAACAATGCTCTGATACCACTTGTTGGTCCTAGCCGGATCTACAAGAGTTTATAGGTAGCAGTTCGTAGAAGGGGGCATAGAAACTTTCACTTTTAAAAAATATATATTGATAAAGAAAATCAATACAAATTTTACTAATTATTCGCGGAAAAGATAGGATACAGATGCTATCTAAACAATCCAAGATACACACAAGATTACAAATAACAATAAGAAAATATTTGCTACAAGAAATAAGGTAAGAATAAATGTGCTCTTCACTTTTTAAAGTGGGTTTTTATCTTAAACAGAGAGTAGTGAGAGAACTAACTTCTTGGGTAAGTTCTTAGTAAGAAAGATGATGATTGAGAGGAGAACCACTTAGCTATTTATACTCATTGCATTAAATGCAATTCAGAAGGTACAAAGCACGTGTCAAGCTTTTAGAGGAAAACTTGTCCTTTGTTCAGATATGGTAGGGTTTTGGCCGTATGTGAACAGTCTTCTTTCATAAAGTAGATGAGCACGTTTAGAGTCAAAGAAATGGCTCTGTACTATACTATACTTAGAAAGGTATGGGTTTGTCCTTTGTGTGTGGAAGGACAAGACAAAAACAATCTTGATTGGAAAGATTCATTTGATCGCTAAATACTAGGATGATGCTAAAAGGTCTCATCAGTGTTCGTTGAATCTTGCGCAGACTTCACACATATGTAGACGCGCTTGTTATCACTAAATACCGCTTCAAATCAAGAATTTGCTGGTCTCTAATCTTCAGCTTATGTCTTCGACATTACTGAAGGATCTATGGTGTGAGTTTTGTCTTCTTGAAGTATAACAGTCTCTGAACGATTTACAATACACGTTCAGTGATCACTGAACAGACTCGGTGAAGATCGCTGAAACTAAATAACATAAACAATATACTTCGATAGATAAAAGGGATCATTATCAAATCAATAAAAGAGAGGATCGACACTTATCTTCAAAGTCTGAAGACCTTGAGTTCAGAGCTCGGATACAGAGCTCGGATACAAAGCTCGGACACAGAGCCTCTAGTTCGTTCAACCAGAGCCTTTGGCTCATTCAACCAGAGCCTCAGGTTCGTCTATCTAGAGCCTCTAGGTCAAGAAAATGTTACAAGACTAAGTATAAGTCTTATAGACTTATTTATCTCTAAACTGTGCTTACAAGACTAAGTCTAAGTCTTAAAGATTTATCTTCAGATTTTCGAATTGTGCTTATAAGACTAAGTCTTTCAGACTTATTTTCAAAGTCTAAAGACCTTGGTTTAGAGCTCGGATACAGAGCTCAGACACAGAGCTCAGATACAGAAGACTTCAGAGTTCAGACGTCTAAATTTGAAAAAGAAAACTTCAGATATCAGACTTTTAAATTTGAAAAAGAAGATTTCAGAGTTCAAACTTCTAAGTCTTAAAAAGAAGACTTCAGATATCAGACCTCTAAATTTGAAAAAGAAGACTTTAGAGTTCAAACATCTAAGTCTGAAAAAGAAGACTTCAGAGTAGGATTCAGTTTCCTACTTCATGATCTTCTTCTTTAATCTCTTAGCTATTGTGAAGAATGACTCTTCAGACTTGAATTTAGAAATGAAACTATATCAATAATTAGTTAAAATGAAGTTAACCCTAGAATAAAATTGAATTTAGAAATGAAACTATATCAGTGAATTGAATTTAAACTTAG